CTATATCCAGCTAGCTTAAGATATCAACTGCAAACACTTTTTTCATTCATTTTAAGTGATTTGACTCATAATCCATTTATTAAAGTAACAGCTGAACTAACAGTTTATAGCATATTTATAGAATAAAAAACAACATACTATAATGTAAATTTAAAAAAAAGAAGAAACAAAGATTGACACGTTGTTTGCATTTCTGTATTTCAGAGAAACAGCATCACTAACAAGCCCAAACAGCTGTCCATAACATCTGGTATAAGCTTTTCAGGTCCCAATTCTTTTTACACAGATGTGGAGTGAATTCATCGTACCGTCCATATTTCTGTGTTTTTGGAGTCGCTCCTAATTGGTTTAGCAGGATTTCTGTTGTGTTGGTGTTCGGAGTTATTAGACATATACATATTGTTCTTCCCTTGTTTTTTTTTAGTAAAGGTAAAGTAAATAAACATATTGCCTGTACTTGTACTTGAACAGTATAGGACATATACCTTTGTTTAATGACTTTAGGTCCTGTTGTAATACTGATAACTAGGTCAGTGTGTACTACTTGACCAATATTCTACTCAAGGTTTGAGTTTTAGTCACATTAGATGCAGAAAGACGTCCGAAAAATACTCTGTCTGGACCAATTGCGACCAAATTACAACAAAATACTGAACTTGAAATTCAGGAAAATGGTGAGTAGAGTTAATGTCAAGGTAAGGATATGTAGTCAAAACCATTACAAGCCTGTACAGACTGACAGGATCATATACTGACAGACTTACCGACTTTATAGTAATAAAGTGAGGTTTCCTAGGCTGAGCAGCTGAAACGTTAATCTGAATGAAATGTAAAAAATGGGCTGAATCTCCGTAACACGGTTTAAAGTTTAAATGAATCTGCAGGAGGTGACTCTGGTATTCAAGGCCATGTAAAATTAAGGGCTGTAGTTGAGAGCAGAATATAAATGCTGAAACTTCAGACTTTGATGCTCACCAGGTCTGACAGTCGGTGTGAAATCTCCAATAAGATTATGGCAGTTGTAACCTGCATGCATCTATGTTTGTATTAGCATCACTGTGCCGGACCAAACAGGGGCTATTTGGTATGATTTGTCAGCTCTGTTTGAGATGCAGTGAGCTTTATTCAAAAAGCGGCCCTGAAATGTACATGCAGGTTCACACTGATTCATGTGAATCCATCTAAAAGTATTAAAGACCACTGAATGACAGAGCACGACCAGAACAAACACATATACCCGCCTCAACAGGGCCTCGCTCTCAGGAACTTCATCCAGTTTTACAGTTTTATCCTCATCAAATCCTCAGACACATTATGGTACCATATGCATATCCTGGAACACCTAGCTTTTAGAAAGTTTTATAATTTGATTTTAAAAGTGTTTAATTATTATTTTAGTGGGAAGTACAGTTTTAGTGAGTAATCATGACCTTTCTTCTGGAGATTTTAAATAAAACCCTTGAGGAGGAAATCTCTTGTACAGTAGAAGTTATTTCCGTAACACTTGGTGTAAATTTGTGAATTAGATTGATTCTGTTCTAACAGCAGAGACAGACAGTGGTGATGAAGATGTCATTGAGGCACAGACCCCGGAGCTGCTCCATAGACAGTGAATAATGGAACAACTCCTGTGGGACTCCTTGACAGCAGCCACAGTCATTTTACTGGGACATGGGGACATTTTCTGATTTACAGCGAAGATTTACATTTAAAAATGTCCACAGATTCAGTCACCAATCCAGTGCTAGTTCACCTGTGACATCTAATGACATCACCAGCTCAGGCTGAGCTCTGATTCCCACCTTAGGCAAGGAGATTGTGATTTCGCTGTACAAAATACAGTGCATGAACATAACTTAAACTCTGTAGGGTTTATATTTTTCAGGGTGGATTTTCTCTTTTGGTATCTGGTCTTAGAGTCTCAATCCTTTGTACGCCTGCTTGCAGCATAGTAGAAAGGTTTTCTACAGAAGTGGCAAAAGAACACACATTATTTATCCAAGTAGTAGTACAGATACTCGAGTAAAAAAGTAGTGCTTTAATGCTTTACTCACATACAAGTTAAAAGGTACAGGCTCTGAAATGTACTCAGACTATAGAAGTAGAAAGTAGTCTCTTGGATTTACCATTTGTTTCTGTGCTTTGATAACTAAAACCTCAAATAGGGTTGAGTCTCCCTCTCTTGTCAGTTTCAACTTGTTACGTAGTTGCATCTTTTACACTGTTTTCTTCATGTTACGTCTGTCATACATGATATTCAACAGTCTTGATGTTTGGAAGGCGTGCAATGATATAATAATAATCAAGCTAAGAGAAAAACATATAAATTACAAATCATTCATTTGATCATTTGATACTTTGGTGCTTGTGGTTCCTGTTAAAAGAACTGAACGATTGAATTGTGGAGAATCTAACTGATCTAATGATGTGTAGCATGTGTGACAAAAGTTTAAACATTTATATTTGTAGGTGATCTAAGCAGCTTGCAATAAGCTCAAGAGAGTGACCCAGTGGTTTTATACATCCAATATATATATATATATATAATCCAGACTAGGCCTCTAATCGAGACCTGCCTTTATCTGTCAAAACATGTAGCCACACCCGGCTAATAAAGGAGATAATAATAAAAGGGATAATTGCTTTTAATTTAAGTTTTATCATATTTAAACTTCATTACTTCCCACCTCGTTTTCACAACTCTTACAAAGCAGCAGAGTCTAAACTTTAAAAAACTGATCATATAGTAACCTTCAAAAAGAAGAATCAGAAGTTGAAAAGATTCAGTTTTTATTGCTTAAAAAAGCAAAATGACCTTTTTCCCTGCAAGTCCAAAACACATTCAAATTCACAGGAAATTAAGAAGTTTTGCATCTGCAGCAAACAGACATATCACAAGTGTGTGGTCTGGATCACCCAGGCTCTGCTCAGAGGTTGCATCATGTGCAGCAGACTGTATGTGTGCAGAGATTGTAATACCACTATCTGTTTATTGACTTTAAAAAGATCAGCCGTGTGTGTGTGTGTGTGTGTGTGTGTGTGTGTGTGCAAGCGCACACATGTGTGAATATTCATTCTCATTTTGACCAGGAGCATCGATATAGTACACAGGGATTACGCACATAAATTTACACTCCCACACAAAACGGTGGAAATAACTACATCTTCTCTGAGGCATCGATGCATATTTATCAAGGCGTAGACGCCCTTGGCCACATACTAGTTCCATTGTAGTGGGATGGGAGTGAGCTGACTGTCTGGTGCAGAAGGATCGCCCTGAGTCTCAGCCTACTCTGCCTGTTATCATTATGAAAAAGAGCACGGTGGACTTCAGCAACAGGCCACGGGAGGGTCTGTAGGGATTTGACGTGTGTGGCTGAACCCCTGCTAATCACCTGTACAGTCTGAGCAGCTTTCATGGGGACCAGGGTTGCAGCTCTTTGGGTGTGTTTAGAAGATATTGAACTGACTCACTGAAACAGCCATGTAGAGACAGAAAGAGTGGGTTCACTAAGGAGATATCATCCTATCTGCACGTCAGCAGCAAGTTCTTTGAAAATCTCTTCTTTAGCAGAAGGTCGTGGTTTGCATTAGGGGCTGACTCTCCTGCAGCGGTCCATATTAAGGACATTATTAAAGGCCTTTGTGTGCTTGTCTTCCTTTGCGCCTGCAGAAGGCTGCATGGTAAACAGGGAGATGGCTTCCTCATTACCTCCTGAAGACATGCAGACAAACAGCTCACAAGAGCACTAATCACATGCACGCCACACAGAACAATTAAGGGTCACTAAATGATAGATTCTGTGATTCGGTTTTTAAAGCATAAATAGCCAGAAAGCATACACCCTCCCGCTTGTAAGTCCATTTCAGATTGCTCAGTAACTTCAATACTTGAGAGCGTTATGTCCTTGACCGTATCAAACACACACAAAGCTTAGCCTCAGCTAAGACGAGGAAAAGCAAAATATTCTGGTGTGTGTAATATCTAAGGCTCTCTCACAGAACCCGAGCAGATCATAGTGAATTATGTTCACTGAATAATTAGCGAATAACCTGTTAGGGGCAGCAGCTGAACGTTGTTGGGAGTCGCTAATGAATAGTCTCATAATCTCTTCCTAGGTTAGATTAGAAGGACGCCATTAACATCAACTCATCTGCCTGGACATCTGACGCATGAAAGGAGACCCATCCAACCAGTAATCATCCAGTTGCTTTCCTTTTAAGCAGGGCTCTATCAAAGTCTACTTTCATCTATAATGTGTGGCTTCCACAGGAGGTGGTGGAGGTTTCACTATGCAGCGCAGCAAGGGCTTGGTCTGTCACGCTATGTGAATGTTTTTGTTATTGTCGGTTTCAATTATAATCCTGCCGAAAGGCCTCACAGAAAGTGTCCTCTATAATGTATCTGGTCCCAGAGGAGGATCCAGGGAGCTGCAGGGGTTCTTGAGGGGGATCCACTGTCATTGTCCACTAGACAATGAACACAATGAGACAGTGCTGGGATTCAATGGAGGACGGATCAATAATCTGTTCAATACAAAATCTAAAACAATTTCTTTGGCTGCTCACATCAGTTACACAGACTCAATTTATTGCCAATTTTACATTGATTATGAAACAATAGATACACAGTTTTATAGTAATTTTGATGCATTTTACGAACTTAAAATCTGTTGGACATTGTCTGCATTTGAACACAGGATCGGTTCAGCTATACTGAGTGTGTGGCTGTATGATGGTTAATGTATCAATATACAATATATACTCTATCATGATATAGAACATTTCTGGAGATTCAATATAGACACTTAAAGGTCCAGTGTGTAACATTTAGGGAGGATCTATTGGAAGAAATATTTATAGGTATGTTTTAATTAAATCACCTGAATATAAAAATAATTCATTAACTTCCAATGAGCCGTTTTTATCTACAGATGTGAGCAGTGCAATTTACAATTAGTAAGCATTTCCTTTAACACATAAAAAGCAAAAAGTGTCAGTTTTATGTATCAGAAATATGTTTATTTGTTTCTCTCTTATCAATCATCTTGTGACCACTCATTTATCTAGTAACCATAGAGGGGTAATTGTCCAATACAACCACAGACACTAAAGAGATTTCTTTATTATATGTATAAATGATATGAATCTTGTATATATTATCATCATTTTACTCAACCCTAATCAGAAGAGCAGTATAGAGACCTTATTATTTAAAGCCAAAATGTATGAATCTCTCTGCAGTGTACTCAAACTGTCAACATAGGCCAGAATACAAAGAAACAGGCTTTACATTATCACCGACTAATCCGTTTTTTCATTTATAGATACAATACCATATCCGTGTTCCTAACAGAATGTGCATATCACAGTCAAAACAGCCCTCAAAAAATGAGGACATACATGTACTGTTATTTAAATATTAACATGTAACGTTTAAGAGGAAGTCTTAACATACAATCCAAAAAGCTGTCTTAGCACTGGTAAAACTTTAGATTAGAAGATGCCCGTCAACCAAGGCTAAATGATACGACTGTTAAAATGTTCCCAGAGGACGCTTTCAAGTTGTCGCCTCGTAATGTGGCTCCAATTGTGGTGAAAACCATTCATGATTTAGTAGAGCTGCTTCTTGTAATTCTCAGCGTTATATTTACATGAATGTGACTGCGACATATTGAAAATTCACCGAGGAGCTGTTTTGTATGTTCATGAGTTCAAACATCCACATTATTTTGACATTCATCCAGAAGGACTTGATTATGTGCCAAATTTTATATTTTTATCACATGCCTTGAAAACAGTGTCGTGGACAAGGTGCATTATGACCGAATCCAAATAAAGTACTTGCTTTATGAAATAGTGTTGTTCAAACAACATACTGCAAAACAACCTGAAGTATTTTAACTGTGATTGCCTAATTGCAGAACAAATGGTAATATGTGAACATTGTTAATATAAAAAAAGCAAACTATAGGTTCAGTTTATTTCAAAAATAATTAAAAAAATTAAATCCATACAAATTTTGTGTCAACATCAAGGCATATGTAAGTCATTATGTGTACTCTCATCTGTTTCCAGTGCAATGGAAGATGTCAATAAACCTGATGTAAAAAATGAGGAGGGGGGGGGGGCAACCATGTTGACTAACAGATGTCTTACACACACGTATGTGATATACAAGGTCTCTTATGCTTGGCTTCAGCTGAGGCAACTGGCATAGAAGCTCCATCTCTGGACACCAGCCAGTGCTAAACACACTTGCTCCCTGTTCTGCTCCTCCTCCTTCACTTTGGCGAGCAGTGGCCTTTATTCACACGAGTAGGAGGAGGGATAGTCACATGGGTGGGGGCTTGGCTGAAGTGGGCGTGGGTAGTTGGGATGCACCCTTACTCCGCTCCCTCGCACAATACTGCACAGACTCCAGCGGATTCCAGCATAGGCCATCTGTGAGGGACGAAGTGACATGGAGGGTGGCAGCTTCTCTCAACAGGAGCAGTTCCCACAGCCCTTAACACTGTTTAGGATCTCCTCCTGCAGCTTTTTCCTCTCCTCCTCCTTCTGGGACAGGCGCTCAGTCGGCTGTTGGGGTGAGTTCTTGCTGTCGCTGAGGAATTTGCTGTTCTGAGTGTTCCACAGGTCTGCGTACAAGCTGCTTGGGTTGGTGAGGAGGGTGTGGTGGCTGCCTCGCTCTGCCACTTTACCCTGGCAGAGGAAAAAAAAAAAAAAAAAAAAAAAGGAGCAGGGAATCAATGAGAAAAGAAACATTTGAATAATACTTGCCAAAAAAAAAGACTTTGACGTTAGAAAAGATAGGCCATGAGCACAGTCCTATAAGTAGCATCTCTTCATGACCACACAACACTGACCACACTCTGTGCGGCGAGTCAGCTCCCCCCTAGAATCCCTGCCGCCTCCCCAACAACTGTTGCAATTTCTCTCACAAAAACACGGACTCGCAGACACACACGCGCATCCACACGCAACAAACACACATACCTCCCACACAGTCAAACACAAATGAAGTCACCCCCTTCCCCCACCTCCCATGAGCATGCAGAGGTGTTGGCATCATCTTTAGTGCACCCAAGACGAGCACGTGACTGTTTCCGCTCGTTATTTTAATGAGCACCCCAGGCAGTCCTCTGCTGGTGACACCAGCAAACGCCATGGCGACATCACACGCAAACATGCCTCCTCGCCACAACCGTCTGATCCCTGCCATCTGACTCTGGAAACATGGAACGACACATGCTCTCTTGCTGTAGTTCAAAGAAACCTCTTCTCAATTTATCCTATTCGACTCTGGCACCGGTGGCAAATGTCACTTCATTTGTGATAATGTACATTTCATATTAACTCTTACTTTCCAGATAATAACAGACTTTACTCTTTGTCTTTTTGTGCTTTACAGTATCTAAAGCCCAACCCATTATGTACTGCAGCATTTTTCTCTTTACTTGGATATTTCTCTGATGCACAATGTAATTATAATAAACCAAAAAGATTCACTGTCTGCTTTTTATTTAAAATTATCTTCTTCTCCATGGCCCCTTTAGCCTGACTTGTATAGATAATCCATGTGAATGGCGATCTCCATTGAAATACATGTTTTAGTCCTGGACGAGGCCTCATCAGTGTCTGGGAAGCTGGCCCATACATTATTAGTCACCAAGACAAACAAGACACGCCATCTGACCAAAACAGCCAGTCAAGTCTGACTGCTTTAATGAGCCCTTATGGAGAAAATAATACATTAAATTCTACCAACAGTGTCCTGTTGTTGTTGAAGTTAATGAGAAAAGCTAAACAAAGCATGTTTTCATCACGTACGTTGCAGAAAGGTAACTCAAAATAAATGATTGGCAAAAACAGAGGCTACTTGCTAAATTCTTGTTGCTGGCAGAGACAGTGCACTGAAGGTCAGGCAGAGTGCAGGTCATCATCCTTCCCTTCAATGCAAAAACGTCTAATTGGACTGGCAATTAACACAGTGCATGTTTGTACTCTGAACATTCTGAACAGTCATATTCTTTGCTTTTTATGAGCCTGACATTACAACTGGAAATGTTAATCAGGGAAGATATGAGATCAAGTAAAAAAATAAGTGGATGAGTTCTTACCCCATTCAGCACAATAATCTCGTCTGCATCCACGATTGTGGAAAGCCTGTGGGCAATGAACATTGATGTCCTGTCCTTCACCATCTCCTTCATTGAATTCAGGATGTTCTGGAAGCACACAAAGACAAATAACCTAATCAGTTTGTTTTGGAAATAGAGGTTGCACTTTAACAATGGAACTCTCAGTGGAGGGCTAAACCCAAAAATCCAGCGAACACATTCCAAAAAATATGGAAGGGTTACAGCTCTCAATTTTCAAGTCAAGGAGTAATACAAATACTTACATCTCACTTAATTATGTGGCTCACATCACCAAGGTGCTACATTTCCATATTTTTGGAATATGTTATGTTAGAATATTCCCTAATCGAAAAGGAAATAGTTCTGCAGGTTTGCAATAATGATGGTCTGCAAAAACAAGAACAAACTTTGATCTGAAGATGAAGCTAAGTCAACAGAATGTTGCTCAGCAACATCCACCTTCATATGCTTTTCTTTCCAATGTTTATATATGATAATTTAAAAACACTGCCGTGATGAGAGGCAACAGAAAATCTCAATTAACAACCACATCTACTGCCCTACTCTTTCTCCCAAAGTTCAGAGAGGGCACACTGAACTTTCTCATTAAATGTAACATTTACAAAGACTGCAAGGTTTAAGCTGAGCTGGAGATTAAGTAGCAGAAAACAGTGGCAGGTGGCAAGGGAGAACATGGGTTGGTGCGTGTGTGCATTGGGGGTGGGGGGGTGGGGGGTATGTCACAGCAGGTATGTGACGCAGGAGTGAGCTGAATTATTGTGTACCTACAGCAGGTGACTGAGTGGGTGTTTGTTCTGCTAAATGTGTATGCAGGCACGGTGAGGTGTCAACCCGTACGTGCAGCAGAGAACGGGCATTTATGGGTATGTTATGTACAAATGCCTGTGTCTGTCAGTGTGTATGTGTTCATGCACTGTCAGGCCCACCTCTTCTGTGATAGAGTCGAGGGAGGATGTTGCTTCGTCATACAGGAGGATGGGTGGATTCTTTAGTATTGCGCGGGCGATGGCGACACGTTGCTTCTCCCCTCCTGAAACAAAACAACAGATGTCATAAATAAAAGCAAACCAGGCTAAAGACAAAAGGGGTTGAAATATATAAGGATACAGCGGGTCTCTCTCTGGCCTTTCTGATCAGATAATTACCTCAAACGGAAAGCCACCACTCAGACAATACCAATGCTACAGGCTTCAGACTGGTAAAACAGACTTTCATTTAATTGAGAAGAAAAAAAAAACAGCAGGGCGCAAAGAATTCTCCCACTGTGTCGGACTCTGCCTTTATTACAAATGAACTGTGTGTGGCCTCTTGAAAGCAAGCGGCGTTCAGCAGATATAAATATTGCTGGCACTGGAGAACAGCAATGAAGGAAGTTAGGAGCCTCGCAGCCGAGACTGCCCCCCTCCCTCCCTGAACCTCCTCCTCTGACAAACTCACTGGCAGCTGTCACGTACAGAAGCAGTGAAATTAATGAGAAGTTAGTCATGTCTTTATTTTGTCCGTTCTCTCACTCACAGTCACTCCACATAAAGAAATCTGTGCTGCCAGTAATTGCATCTTGAATGTTGAGTGAAAGTGCTCACACACTGTGTGTTTACGTGGGCTAAATGAGTTGCAGAGTGATGCTAGCAGCCAAATACTACACAGTCTTGTGCTATCACTGCAGATCAAATAAGGCAACATGCCACATAAGTTAATACACTACAAAGAAGAGGACAGCAAAATAACAATGATGCAGCTACTGATTAAGTCTCATATTGAATCATAAAATAAGATTGAAATTAATAAATAACGGAAGCTTTACTATTTTACAAGACAGCTTGTAATCAAAGTCTTAAAAGTAATTTTCATCGGCCGTGATTAAGCAGAAGTTTTAATATAATATAGAGCTGTGCAAACTGAAATCTTTCTCACAGCATCACAGCGTCTCTCCATCCTTTCTTTCTAAAAGCATGCAACATGGCAACTGCCATCCAAATATATATTATTTGCTGCAGATAGAATATTTAAGCTCTTATACTTTGCTTAATTTCTTCTAACAAGAAGAATAGAAGCGAAAGAATAGGAGAAGTATAGAAATGACCGTGTGCAAAGTGTACCTTCAAAATAAAATATAATTTTGGGCTCAATACTTTGATTTCTGCATTCAATAAATATTTGATGGGTAATCACATAATGTGTAATGCAAGTAGGAGTTCAGCTATAGTAGTCAGATAAGGTCAAACTGTGGTACTGTGTAAAGCATGTCTTTGAGACCAGAAAAACTAAATATTCAAGTCATATTTTTATAATACTATACCTAAAATCCCAGAAAATATCCAGCCTCATATCACAAAATCAATATTATATTATATCTGAAAGTATTACTCGATTAATCTGCAACAACTGTGGTAATCAATGAATCAATTTTATTCAAATAAAATGCAGAACAGTGTGTGGTCCCAGCTTCTTAAATGTGAGGATTTGCTGCTTTTCTCTTGTTTCATATTTCATTGTAAATTAAACCTGTTTTGGTTTTGGACTATTTGTGGGACAAAGTAAGCTATCTGAAGGTCACCTTTAGAAAACTGTGACAGGCATTTTTTATGTTTTATACTGTAGATGAAACGATTAATTTAATTGACAGATTAATGGATAATGAAAATAATTGCTAGATGGAGCCTTCTAGTAGAAAAAAATACTGAATGTCCCAGCTCTGTGTGAATATACAGTATATACACATTGGAATTAAACTATTATCAGCCAGTTACTGAAACAATTTCAGGGTTTTAAATTTTTTAGCTTAGTATACCACCCAGGGAAAAACACAAAACACACAACTCTTTTACTTGCTTCTGCAGAGGAGAGCATATTTAAACAGTAGTCATAATAGCGCAGCAAACCTGACAGCTTGAGGCCCCGCTCCCCAACCTGGGTGTCATAGCCATAGGGCATCCTGAGGATAGCATCATGGATGCCTGCTAGACGAGCCACTTGGTACACCTCCTCTGGTGTAGCGTTGATGTTCCCGTACTGCAGGTTGTAGAAGATGGTGTTGTGGAACAGAACGGCATCCTGACAACAAAAACAGTTAGAGAAAAACAATGAGGCTTCAGAGAATATTTTTTATTGCAGCAGAGACAGAAACAGAGGACTGCAGATATATAGACAAGGGTAGGAGGGAGAAGGAGAAAGAACGCAAATGACAAAAATACTGTTCATGTACCATCTGTTCAGATCAGCCTCTGAGCTCACTGCAGTGAAAAGCTAAATGAATTCAGCTTATTTCTGATGCTTTTAACTATTAATGCTACGTTGTTCTATGCTGCCCCCTTGTTGTGTATGATAATCAATAATAAGTCTAAAATAAGTCATATCTAGAGCACATGTACAATTCATTTGTGGCGACAAATAGTAAAAATTATGTTGATACAAATCATTTCTCATTGTTTTTGTTTATTTTATTGTGTTGTGTTGTGTTGATGTGCCACAGACCTGAGGTACGACCCCCAAAGCCTTCCTCAGGCTGTCAAGGCTGACATCTCGGATATTCTGCCCCGCTATGTAGATGTTCCCCCGCTGGGGCTCATAGAAGCGGAACAACAGCCGCACAATGGTGCTTTTCCTGCAACCAGACGTGGAACCAATCGTCAGCATCATTGTGTCTGTGAGCAGCACCCCCACAGTCTACTGATGATATCAGATGATAGGACTGCATTGCACATACAAATGAGATGACACACACCTGGCTAAAGGTTGACAGTCGTACTTGTATGAAAGGTGACCTACCCTGACCCACTGCCACCAACGATAGCCACCTTCTTCCCAGCAGGAACTTCGAAGGACACTCCGTTTAGGACTTTCTGTCCTTCTAGGTATTCAAAGTATACGTCCTCGAAGCGGATGGTGGCCTCCTGGGGTGGGATGGTTAACGCTGGGGCGAGATCCCTCTCCTAGAGAAAAACCATCAGAGAGTTGAGACAGACGAAAACAGAGAGAGAGAGGAGACGGATACAGAACAGCCACTGGCATACGAGGCCTAACATGATGCAACCTTACTCCAACACCTTGTAAAGAGGGATAATGCTGGAGCACAGAGCTAACACAGACTGCATAAAGCAGAGACATTCACAGCAAATTTGAGGGGTCGTTTCAAAAGACCGTCTTCACACACTGCCCTTCATGGTGACTGAAGGATCAATAGGCATGAAAACTTTCGGTACATACTGAGCTGAGCCACAGTGCTGAGATGGAGCCAAGGTCAGCAGTGAATAAAGAACTGTCCTTACCCTGAGCGTAAAAGCCTGATCTGCTCCGTTTCTATACTGCTTAATAGAAACATAATCACCCTCAATCCACCTCAGCCAATTAATACAAATAACTCAGTCCATTAGTATAAACAGATGATAATTTCACACACCCCCCAACATGGAAAAAAGCCCAAATCATTTATTTTTTATTTTGTGAAGCAGTTTTCAAGTGAGGGGGAGTTTATTAGTTAATTTTACATCTACATAATAGGCCAATGTGTTGCACAAAAAAAAAGCATTCAGACAGTAATGGCCTGCTGGGCAGTGCCATTCCACGGGGAATCACAATGGAGGAGTATTACTGATGAGTGAAAAATAACTGGACAGTTTCATTTCTCCTACTGTAATTACAGGCTGGAGACGGGGATGGCATTCATATTGTTAGGCAGCAGGCGCACATTTGCACTTAAATGTGCTCTTCTGACGCAAGATGGGCTGTCATGTTGTGTAAGAAATGAAAAGAAAAGATAAATACAATGAAATCGCTCACAAAAACAATTGATGAAACTGAGGACTTACTTGTCTAAAATAGGAGTTTTGGACACTTAATGGTTAAAAGTTAAAGAAAAGGATCTTCTTTTAAATGTGAGTTAATATTTGTGTGTTATATAAAGCCCCCATATGAAGGGCAGTACAGCTTAGTTTGCACTAGTGTTGAAATGATAAGCTGATTAATCAGTTAGTCACAAATTATTTGTTTATTTTTTATATTTTTCTTGCCCTTTAATTAATAGTGACAGCTGAAGAGGGACAAAAGAAGGGAGAGAGATAGTAGAGAGGACACACAGCAAAGGGCCATAGGTCATAGCCAGCTCCACCAGGTGAGCTATCAGGGCACCCTGGTTGACAGATTAATGAATCTGCAACTATTTTGATAACAATTTGTCATTTTTCAGGCAAAAATGCCAAACATTTATTAGTTTCAGTTTCTCAAATGTAAAGAAATTAATTGATCGACTGATGAATTCTAATAATAATCGTTGTTGTAATGTTGTTATCCCTATTGGGAAACTGAAAACTTAAAGGGATTATTGAAGAACACAACACTTCAGAGTCAGTGCAGGAAAGGGTGGCTTTTGCTAATAAAAATATTAAGCAAAAGTGAACCACAGGGAGTTCAACAACAACAGTTTCACCCTTCCCAACACGACTTGACAGCGCTCATTTACTCACTGTTTAGAGTACCTAATGATACACACCTGTTTTCTCTATCACTGATTGAGCAGATGATCTGCACAAATAGTACAACAACAACAACAAAAAACCCTCTCATATATCCCGAGTCGGGTTGATAATTTGTATCAGGTCCTAACTCTCTGGAACACAAAACAAAATGACACAAATAAAACAAGCTTGCTGTTCAATCAATGATGGAAAAAAAGTTCATGTTCGGAAACAGCGCCTACTGATACTGAAAAAGGAAAGCTGCCTTCATTACCCGAAAGCAAATCTGTCAAAATTAACTGTGTCACTCAGTTAAAATGGCTACAGGTCACAACCGGTTAATAAATGCTAAATCATCACAAAAAGGCCAAAAAACAAACATTCTGCTACAATTTGTCCGAATATCCCTATATATTTAACACTAATGCAGAAAGTAATATGTTCTACAAGTGGCAATAGATGAGGAAGAACCTGAGTCATAGCAACCGTTTGAATGGGTTCGCTGGGTTATGGGACCAAGAATAATTTAGCCCTGAGTAAAAATCTTTTACCACTTGTACAATTACACAATATGAATTTATTGGGTTTACTTGTGTTTTATATTCAACTCTATACTTACTTTCTATCTCAAAAAAGTTCATCTCTACTGCTCTCGCTTGTTAGAGGAAGAGAAAATGTAAAAACACAAAACAATTTTGCAATTTATTGCTACAATGTGGAGAATGTCAGGTCGACAAGTTACCTTGATCTTGGTGTCTACATTGAGCAGGGTGAAAAGAGTGTTCATGTCTATTAGGGCCTGCCTGGTCTCTCTGTACACTGTACCCAGGAAGTTGAGGGGGAGGGAGAGCTGGAAGAGCAGGCCGTTCACCATCACCAGGTCTCCCACCGTCATCGTACCTACACGAAAGCAACAAAACAACTTATAGAGACGCACATAATCTAGCTCTATTGTATCATACTGTATATGTGTCTAAAAAAAACAAAAAACATTCCAACTATTTCTTCTTTCAAGTTGTGAAAGCAGACAAAGCATGTTACAGTCTGAATCTATCTCCACCCACTGTGATTTCATTTTCTGCATCAAGGCTATTTTATTTCCTATTCATGCCACTTTTTCATGCTTGCTGTGCTTTGTTCTCATTTAGTTTCTATTATCCAGTTCAGTCAGGGTTTTACTTGTCATTTTCATCTGTCCATTTGATTTTGTTTTGAGGTGTTTTTTAAGCGTTCTTATTCCCAAATGCACAATTTTTCCATTGTGCTGTGGACACATTGGCATGAAGAGGTACATTCAGGTAAGATGACAGGTATTTTGCACCTTTACATCTGGACACTGTGTTTCATGGTTTATAGATGGTGAGCGAATGATTGGGGGGGAAAAAATGGAAACATACTCACACATCAAAACCCAAAACTCCTCCCTCACTCACCTGCAGCGATGCCCTTGCTGGCCAGCAACATAATGCCAGTGAGGCCGACACTGAAGATGGCACTCTGGCCAAAGTTGAGCATGGCGAGCGTGGAAGTGGTTTTTAAAGAGGATGACTCATAGATCTTCAGGTATCCATCATACTTTTCAGCTTCATACTTCTCATTGTTGAAGTACTGCAGCCAAGATGAGAAACATGAAGAGAGGGAGGAGAGACGGGAGCACAGGGCATGGAGACAGCAAAGGGATTCACAAAAGGAAAGAAAGAAAGTAAGTGGAGAGAGAAAGAGGGAGAGACACAAAATATGGTTAAGGTTAAAGGTTAAGGAAGCATGGAGAGCAGTGTCAGGCAGATAGGCACTTAGCGCAGCCTGCCTCAAGGCTGCATTTGTTCTCAGTGACCGCTCTGGGCGTAGTCTGGGTCTCAGTTGGCCTCTAAAGGACTTTTTCATGTCTCTGTATCTTCATCTCCTCCCCACTGATCTTAAAAGATGTGGAGGGCGATGAAACAAAATCCAGAGCCTTCTTTGCTGAGCAGGCAGAGGATGGTGATTATGGCAAAAGAACAGTTTAGAAAATATTAGGCAATTATAATTGCAAGAAAAGCCAAGAAACATCTCTTGCAAGTTAAAGAAGAATTGCTGCAAAGTATTCATCATCGGCACCTCTGTATTTACATCTGCAACAGACACCTACCAACAGAGCACAGATAGCTCATAAGTGTTACACCACACAAGGAACCCCTACTTTGATTAAGACATGCAGCTATCATTTAGAGAAAAAAAAAAACACCTCATGAATCAGCCACAAGCACATCTCTTAAATTCAGCATATAAAACTACGGCATGATCACAACAACAACCCTCCTCAACTCTGCTGCCAATTACCTAATATTGCTGTTTGTTTAGTTTGCACTATTGTTCCTCTGCTCTGGTTAAGTGGGCGATTTGCTTCTCTAGCTCACGGCAGTGGTGCTGTGCCGCTACCGACTTGCCACTGATTTGCATATAGGGTAATGCAGGGAATCAGAGAGAGAGAGAGAAGAAAGTAGCACATAGAGGACAAACAGAAGCAGTGCAAGGCACCATGTTCAGGTTCTCATCCAGTCCTTTGTGAAAGTGGAACGGATTTCTGAGTGGGCGGAGATCTAATTACATATGCACACTCACAGCTCAGAGTGATGCTAAATCCGGCCGCATTGGCACAGATGACACAAAATAACACAGAACAAAACGTTAAGGAAAACAGGACGCAAAATAATACAGCAAAGAAAATAACATGGGTACCAAAATATATCTAGAACAGCCAACAAAGCACCAGAAAACTGAATGCTGATTATGTTTATGTGTGTACTATGTACAATGAAGTTACCTAGAGGGAACCTTAAAGAAAGATAAAAGATTCATGACAATCACGCCACTGAGAACAGCATGCATTACATCAGTCAGGTGTGGGAGCACACTCCCCCATAAACCACCCTGGCCTCTGCAGACGTGTCTATTCACAATAAAGTCTCTAGTGGCTGACACTTCCAGTCCAAGACTACGACTGAGACACTGTTTGGGTCATTGATTGAACCAGGAAAATACTCCTTAGTGTCCAGTAATAAATGTCTCATTGTTTGTAGCGATATACAAAAAAAGGGTGAACAATTTTACCCTAAAAGAGAAGAAGAGCAGGACAGAGAAGCAAGAGATGTTTTTAGTTTTTAGTAAAAACCCAGAAAATGATCCATCTGTCAAATGTGTGTGTGAATGAGTTAATTTAGAGTTGAGTTACTAATAACACATTGAAAACTATATTGATAATCACTAAGTCTTTAAAGTAACTTTTTCAAGCAAATTTAACAATCATTCTGCTGCTTTCTCTGTCTTTTGTGACAGTAAACTGAATATTTTCAGGTTTTAGGCTGTTGAAAAAGAATAGCAATTTAAGACATCAACTTGTGCTTTTGGAATTTTGATGACATCTCACAGACAATTAAATCGAGAAAGTAACTAGTAGATATTACATAATCATTAGTTTCAGGTCAATATGCACAAAGTATGTACAAGCAACATGGTACAAAATTACTAATATGATAATTATCTTGATGATGAATGACAATATTTAATCAAGTATCAGACGATCAAAGGGTGGGGTTTTTATGGAGTTTTTAGTTTAGTTTTTAGTATTTTACTATAATATATTTTTTATATCTTTACTTTGTGTTCTACCACTCTTACAGATTTTGGTAAAATTGGTGTCATCTCTTTAGGCACGAGAACTGTGAACAGTATGTCACTATGGAGAATTTCACTACAATACAATTATATAGAGAGACAATAACTCATAATATTGAATTTTTGACCAACCTCCACTGGTTCTAATCAATACCTCCATTCTAAGAGCTACAATGTGACTGTATCTGGCCAGTTCACACATTGTGAAATGCAGTGTTTGCAATCATTTTACTACTTATGAAGTTCATGCTTGTTGACAGGCAACACTTAAACATGATCTGGATACAGCGTCAGAGGCGGGGCCTCGTTCATTCCTTTGAAAGTTACTCAGGGCATGAAGCCAAACAAGAAACTTCCTGTTGTAAAGAAATAACACAGAGGAATGCATACTGCGCAATGGAGACCTACACCAGCCAAGCTGGCTAACTTCATTCATTCATTCGTTACTTAATTTAACTTTAATGGGAATAAAAGGATTTCATCGTGCAGCTCTTCTAGACTTTCAAAATGTTATCAGACTGAAAATTCTGATAGTAAAACAAGTCATTTTGTAGGGGTTGTGACACCCACAAATACGTATCCACATTTTACAGCTGCTTCTTTCCCCATAATTGTGTGCGGGAAAAAGTATTTTGGGGTCAGTGTGCATCACTTGAAGGACCCGGATGTCGTAATCACGCGGTTAGGCCACTATGTCAAATTGGCCTCAAAGCCTGGTGCGCTTCCTGGGGGCTTGTTACATACCCAAACAATATGGAAGTAGAATATTTATAATCAACCTTATAGACCGTTTTCACAGCCGCCATTTTCACATGAAATACCAATTAAACTAATTAAGGTTAGTGTAGCCGAGACATTCCAGTGAGACAACATGCACAATAGCAGCACCCTGACTGTGTTTGACCTGGATGGAAGAGAACCTTAATTAGTATTAGAGCTGCACAATATGGTAAAAACATAAACAAAACATATTGCAATTATTTTGACAGATATTGTGATTGAGATTCAGATTCACATTCATGTGGGAATGATCATTTTAGCATCACAAACGTAATTTTTAGAACAAAAAACCAACCTATTCAAATCATCATTATGTGAAACGTTTTCTCTGCAGTACTACAGTAGTTCATTAAATTGCTCACACATTTTACCTTTATCAAAACATTACAGCTCTTGTGATTTGCATATTACTTCTACTTGCATATTTAATTCGGCCATATTGCAATTTCGATAACATTTAAATTAATTGTGCAGCCCTAGTTAGTATCATCAACACCTGTGTTTACCCTACTACTATATTCCATGTCAAAATGGCTGCTGTGAAAAAGGTCTATTGTCTATTGACTATGACAACAATCCTATGAACACTCAACACAATCTCAACAAATACTGAATCACTGCATTAAAAAAGGTTCCACTGCCGCACTCCTAACCTGGGTCCTGGGGTTACATTGGTGGGACACCGCTCTATAAATAATAATAAATAAATAAACTTTACGTAAACCTATAGTACACATTGCCCGTGACTTTCCACCCTTTCAGCCATAAATCCCACTCCTCTCACTCAGAAAGATAAACTATGAAAGTGGTGAGAGTCAAAGAGAAGCTGAGAGACAGACACAGAGAGCTTTTCTTTGATTAAAAGGAAAATTATGACAGTAGCAATCATGGAAGTGAAACACTATTATCACAAACAAGTAAATATTTGTTCACATAAATGTGCCTTGCTTAAGTGAAGAGAAGAGAAAGGCTAGAAAGAAGGCGATAAAAGGGACGGATTGACAAAGGGAGGAGGGGTGGGGATGCGAAGTGTGGCTGTGTGGGGGGTTGAATCTCACCTTAACGGTCTCATAGTTAAGGAGAGAGTCAATAGCTGCGTTGCCGGCTTCATTGTCCGCTTTGTTCATTTCTATCCGGAAGCGTGTCCTGTGCGCAGAGACACATTCACAATCACGTAAGCACTTTCTTAAGTACATATTTCAGGCTTCAAGTGATTATTGTTACTGTCGGCGCAGAGAGCCACATAACTATTTACTGAATCGTTTTCAACTGATAACAAACATAAGCAATAAAACAATTATTTGAACAACAGACAGACACAGGACTAGTACAAACATCCTCGTTGTTACCTCCACTGAGTGACGAGAATGGTGAAGAGTGTGTATGCTGATAAGGTACCCAAGGCCACTGCTGCAAACTGTCCACCACACTTATAATACTGTGGAAGAGAAAAGCACAGTCAAAACAAAGGACTTTTCACATGCTGTCACTAAACAGCTTTGTGATAAAAAGTCAAGCAACCACATCAGACCACCGAACCCCAACCTTGGCATCACGAGCCATTTTGAGAACGTACTGTTTTTGACTATTCCACTATGAAATTGAGTGTTACAAATGGAGGGGAAACTACAAGAACTAATCGTGCTAATGCTTTAGCTATTTGGGCAATGGAGTCTGCCCTCATTACAGGCAAGCTGACATTATGGTCCAGAGTGGAATAATAGCACGAAGCTATAGACGAGCCATTCTTTCAGTGGTGGCCAAGGAGGGGGGCATCTGTTCTGGGCATACTCCACAGGAGGACATTAAGTTGCTACAAAGCTTTGGGATTCATCATTGACACTAATGGGCTCTATGTTGCCACCAAAAGTTCACGGGGATTCATATTCCATTTAGAATGTAAATGAGACAATATCCCTGAAATTAATTTCCGGACAATCTGCTATGAAGAGTGTCAAGGTGATGGAAGGTCCTGAGCTAACATTAAGGACTGAAACAGTAACAGCAACAAGAAATAAAAGCCAGAAAATTGTAATCAGTGTTTCTGGTAGTATCCAACAATAATGTCGAAGCTTATGATTACCGTCATTAGTATCTGTGTGCGTGGATGTCACTTGGAGACTCACCAAAATGGCACTGACGAGGGCCATCTCGAAGACTGTGGGTCCTAGATTGAAGACGAGCGCACTGAGGACAAATGAGATGCCCCGTGTGCCACGGTCGATGGCCTTGGACAGCGCTCCTGTCTGGCGGCTGAGATGGAATCCCAGATCCAGATTGTGCAAGTGCAGGAAAACATTCTTGGCAATGCGTCGGATGGAGCTCTGGGCCACCTTGCCGAACACAGTGTTCCTCAGCTCGTTGAAGAGGGCTGCACAAGCCCGTGACGCGCCATCTGGGATAGCAGAGGAGACGGAGAGTTTAGCACACCTGCTGGGAAAAGCAGGGAGGTTCAGACAGCGGGGCTCTGAGAACATATCCCCATCCTACACACAGAGGACTGGTATGTAGCTCTAAAGTGATATGAGGCAGCAAAACAAGAATCTGACCCCTACCTTTTCTGTCTTGTAAGATGTAATAGAGTATTGAGACGGTTGAGACTAGACAGGGTTGAGGCTTGTCACCTGCTCTAACATAAAGGCTTGTATGAGGTGGCGGGGCAGGTTTTTCACATCATCTCTGGTCTGCTAGCACTGCAGTGCTACAGCAGCAGCCTCCCCAAACCTCTGTAATTACAAAGCAGGATGCTGTCTGAAGCCTCACTACTATGACAGGCCAGCACACTGCAGACAGAGGGAAGGGAGGGTATCTAAGTGTACACAAATGTGTTCTGTGCGTGTGTGTATGTGTGTGTGGGGCAGAGAACAGGCTCAATGTGTGAGCAGCATACTAGAAGAGGGGGAGGTGGTTTTTAATGAGCGTTTCATGGAAAGATGTGACTATGAGTTGTCGATGAACAGACTTAATTTCACCACTGTCTGAGTCTAGACATTGTCTGGCTGATCTGTAGGATGGTGGATCAAAGCAACATAGCTTTTCTTAAAGGTATTTTTATTGTTGCATATTTGGGGAGTTTAAAGGAAGCTTCCTTATATGCAGCTTCAGTTCAATACAATAGCAGATCTAATTCCAACACAGTAAGTTATTTGATCCCTTACACTTCTCGTAAACTGTAATACCAGCAGATGGCTAGCATGACTGTCACAAATTAATATTAGTCTGTGTTTGAATGACACGTGGCCTTCCTGTGGCGATTTCACCGAGTTGTGTGAATACACGACTTGTCTACTGAGACCAAAGTCAGGGTAATAATCGCTCTGTCTGCCGGTCTTCATGGGGCTGTAATGTGGCGTTAAATAGGAATGCTCATCTAATGAACAATGTGTCCACATCTGACAAGGTAGGATGAGCACTGTGCAGCCTTTTCAGCCAAATTACACTCGTCACCGCGGGCTCTGAGTACTGGGCCCCAAGTGTTGCAAAGAGGGAACAAAAAATACAATTCCATTCTCTAACAGCGTCTCCTTCATTCTTCCTCGTCACCTTAATTCGTCCTGTCTGGAGCCCTGTTCCTGGATTCCAATTATTCAACAGGCAGCATTAGTGTGCAAGACCTAAGTGGGCTCATTAAAATAAGTGGCTACAGGGCTATGTGTACATTGCATCCAAGCTGATCTCACTCGAGGCCGGAGTGACTTGCAGTGGGTGTCAGGTTCACAACATTTATTTATTTATTTATTTTTGCTTTTCATCAGCAGCCCAGTGAAAAAATACTCTAATCAGGAAGGAACTTCACATTCACACTACATGTCACCCGTGACCCCTCTTGTATTCGCAGGGCCCATTTGGACAAAGAGGAGAAAAAAGGGAGGCGCTCTCAAGGGATGAAGTGAAAGAAACATCCCTGGCCTTTGGATAGCACTAAAAAATATGCAGCCACTTTCAAAAAGGACATAAGCAATTTCTTCCCCACTGCTTTGGAAATGTATCTAGCTCTGTTTGCCTTGGGAGCACGGAGGTATCATATGAAAAGTCGTCAGCGCTCACAAGAGGGCCGTGTGGATTGATAGAAGTGAACTCAGATGCAGAACAGAGCAAATAATGTAAATAATGTGAGGGAGCGGCAGAGGTTGCGGAGTGGCATTGATATGAATGTGTTGGGAAAGGTCAGCCTGTAGATAATAGGCAGTCCCACAGTCCCTTCTGATGAGCACGGCACCTGCCAGTGCAATACAAGACTGGGACTCACAGCCAATCAGCACGGCCGTTGCCATGGTAGCCACAGTGCTTGGCGCGTCATTCAGGTTCAGCATGTGTCCCGACATCTGGTTAAGCTCGTCCACTGCATACTTAAACATGAAGGGCACCGTCACATTGGTGAGCTGGGAAGGCAGAGAGGGAGGGAGGAAGCATTCAGAGAAGAGGAGAAAAAGAGAGAGAGGAAACAGTTTCAAATAGCCTATTAGACAGACATATGTTCAATGTAGTCCAGTGCCATTTCTCTAGTCCTCTGTAGTGCCTCTCTATTTATGTATGCACTCCCCATGTGCTTAGAAAGATGGATTTCCAATATTGTTATGCAGTAAATCCAACATGACCCATTCAGGCAGATTCAGGGTTTATACTTCCATGTATGTATGTATGTATTTATGTATGTATGCTGTGTGTCTGTGTGTGTGTGTGTGTGTGTGTGTGTGTGTGTGTGTGTGTGTGTGTGTGTGTGTGACGTGTGTGTGTGTGTGTGTGTTCTTCCTAACTGACTGGCTGTGCTGGTGCTGGTGAGGTGGCTGGTGCTTCCTGCTAATGGAATTGAAATGGTTATTAGGGCTAATTAAAAGCACAGGGACAGCTGTGTGACTCAGGCTAGGCGGTCCGCTGCGCATTAGGACAGCCAGAGAACACAGCAGCGTACAGCAGAGCATTTTCATTTGAAACCCATTTCATTTGAACCTCTCAACCCCTAAGGGGGGGGGGGGTACTTTTATTTTTGTTCCTTTACTCCTGTCAAATTTTGCATGATATAATTTTGATAAAATAATAGTAACAACAATTACATAAAAACAAAAAAAATGTGAGTAAAAATAAATAAATAGACCCATTGTGACCCTGTTAACGTACAAGGACTTCTAATAATGCACCATTTATACTGCAAAAGATAAATCTCCTGGGTTCTCGCTTTATACACTTGGGTATTATACTCAGACAATAGAAGTCATCTGGGTCCCTGAAGGAAAAACAATATCTTTGCTACCAAGACAACAGAACATGACACAAAAATAGCCTGAGCTATTATCACAGGGCCAAAACATGTCCTCGTTTTTACCACTAATACATGATAAGGTTGGATGTGCTCTTTCAATCCACTAATGGCCAACTGGAGATTAAATCAACACCATGTCAATCCGTACCTGGTGATATGTCATCTCATAATAAAGATATTGTGTCAAGTATTGGGGAAGAGGCTTCAGGATGTCAAGAATTAGCTTAAGGTTATAGTATGAGACACACACACACACACACACACACACACACACACACACACACACACACACACACACACACACACACACACACACACACACACACACACACACACACACACACTTGCATGCAGATGAAGAAGCATTCATTTGAGGCAGACAAAAACAAGAGCTTCTATATAATCAGCTATTTGAAATGAAAATGTCACTGATATTGTGGAGTGCAGAGGTGTGATTCACTGTAACCACATAATTATTCAGTTGATTTAAAAATTGCCTCCACACTGCTGGTGGTTCCAGTTCAAAGAGACAAACTGGAGAAATCGAGGCTAACTCCAGCCAAGCAGGAAAACAGGAGAAGATTGGATAGCATGTGTGTGTGTGTGCGTGTGCGTGTGTGTGTGTGTTCTCTCCTCCTTAGCACACGCACACAGCCATGCTGAGCGACAACAGTACATGCTTATTTAGGAGCTGTGAATTTGTGATTGTTTTCCAGGGTGTAAATTAGAGACCATCAACAAAGGAAGAGGAAATACATCACGCACTGATTGATGCTCGCAATTAATTATTTTAAAAATCGGTATCTGTTTTAAATGCACACAGTCTTTATTTTCACGCGGGTGTTAATGTGAGCGCTCATGTTGCTTGAGCAAAGGGTGGTCAAAGCAGAGAGGTTGGATTTAGCAAGGAGGCATTTCTTACTACAAATATTTGTACAAATTGGACCAATGCTTAGATGTGGTGTAGCATTGACCTTTACTGAAGTTCTACTGCACTGTACTATGACTACTACTACTATGAATCTTTCACTTAGACATCATTGTAGGTAATTTTCAAAATGATCAGCCTTCTCAAGATCAGCAAGCTGATGTAAGCAGTTTGTAAAGCCATGACTATACGTGATGGTTGATCCTGAAAGACTCAAACAGCTAGTACAGCAATTCAGAAACCATCAAGTACCAACAATGACGACAAACTAATGAAATGTTCAACCCTGCTGATTTCTTTTTAACAAGAGACACCGGCTACTCTTTTCTATTGCTTCTGAAGCAATACAATCTTTGGGCCTTTTATGAGCAGTGCTCACAAAGCCCAACTTACCTGAATAAACTGTTGACATGGCATTGTGAGTTTTTGAAATGTTCATGCTTAGAAATAAGATACATTTGTTGAAAATTAGAGTTGCATCGGTTAGAAAAATAATTGGCACCTATTTTTACGATCAATTAACCATTATTGTGATTTTTAACGTAAAAATGGCAGAAAATGACGTTTTCAGCCTCTCAAATTTAGAAATTACATTGATTTCTCTGTTTTATATCATTTCAAACTAAATATCTTTGAGAACACAACAAGACATTTACAGACATCACCTTGGACTTGACTTATTAAGTAAACCTTTATGCATACATTGGAAGATTAGGAATTTATATAAACTTGTTATGCCTACTCAAACCTCTTAGTTGAACGCTGACATTCTTGAGATCTTCTTCAGAAACAGTATGAAGTTAAAATACTGACCTCTGTCACTTAATTAAATAAGATTTAATTAACATCAGCAGTAACCTTGGATTGTCACTTCTCTCTTTCACTTGATTTCACTGTCAAAAGGCAGGGCTGCTTTTCACTGTGAGGCAAAAAGAGGCTCTGGGACTCATTTATCATTTTTATACTGTATACCTTATTTCCACTTTCTTGCGAAGCGGGGACAAAAACAGGAAAGACTCTAAAACTGTGGGAATGGATGATGAGTGAAGAATGGAGAGGATGTCACTTAAGTCACCACAAAGCTACTGATGACCAACATGACATCAACTTTGCTACTGGCAGCAATCCTTTTACACGTAGGAATGAGTCCACATTTCTTTAAACCGCTAACACTGTCAAAGCATCAGGAGCATTGTCAGTGGCATACAGATGTGAGCAATATTTGTTCCCATACCAGTAGGGGGGGTTGTGATCATCTTTTTCTTTTCTTTTTTCTTTTTTAGTCACTTCAGATCAGTGCTTTGATCATGTTGTGAGTTACATTATTTGCTGTTTTTCTCTTGCCTTAATGGTTTTAATATTTACATTTTCTCCATAAAAACAGAATTTAATATGCATAAATAACACTGTTTAGCACCAACAATAACAACACATTAAAGTAGCTTCAATGCCAAAAAATAACAAAGAAGTAAAAAAGAATACCCATGGGATTGTCTGTAAACGTACCTTGGCTCCAGCGAGCAGGCCAAGAGAGATGGCCACACGGGCCCGCAAGTCTGGTCTATTCTTTGGCCACACATAAGACAGCATTGCAGACAGGATCTGGGTTGAATTCACTTCGTTCAGCTGTGGAGAAGAAAACAAAAGCAAAGCTTCTTCTTAAAATATAGTTCCCTTAATTTACTAAATACATCTGTCCTGTAAGATATAGGTCAAATGTGTAAAACTGTATTTACTATAGTACTACACTACAATGTTAACTTTCTAACCTGCCTTGTGTTTGCCAATATTGGCAACTAACTTGCATTTTGGTTTCAGTGTGACAATCACAATAACCTAAAAATGGCTCTCTGGGCAGACACATGGAACATCAAATGTCAATGGGAGTCCCTTGGGAGGATCTGGGAGCAGCAATGACAGCAGAGTATCCAGGTGGACCTGGGGATCCAGTCTGACACTACATGTCCCAGGGGACACCTGGGCTGTCATCCCAGCTGAGTCTGAGAGCACACTGGTGCCAACATGGCTGTTTACCCACGCTCCACCACACACCTGCCACAGGGACTCTCTGCAGGCCAAAGAATATGCAGTAATTCCTCTAATCCACTCAATATGGTGGCAGCGACATACAGCAGCACCTCCAAGCAAATTATCGTGAAATTGGGCCCAACACCTGCCTTTAATCAAATACAATCAAGCAATACGTGCGAAGAGAGGATTAACATTAACAGTTGAATGCAGAATTGAGGTCCCTGTACCATATGTGGAGAGGATTTTTGGACGGTGCAAGAGTAGCTTTGCATGATTCTCAGTTTTTAAAAAGTCCTTATTTATCTTATACTCGTCTCTGATTGGTAGGCTTCCAGAAGTTGGCCAAGCACCCAGTAGCAGCTAGTGGTCCTATTAGCTTGGAGCACCGGGGAAACAGAGCAGAGGCTTTGAACCGTCGGTGCTCTGAGCTCCCAATCTAAGTAGAGTCAGCTAGCAAATAGGACCGCTGGCTGTAAGGCTGACTAGCTAACGGCAGCTACAGTAAGTAGTAGTTGGCACTTACTTTAGCAACAAGTACAGCTCTGTCAATCAAGAAACTAACTAACTTTCCTTCACGACCGAAAAATAACTTCCTGCAAGACGTGACTGAAAAACCTTCAAGAACTTGAAGAGTCCTGAGCAGAGCGGTGGAATAACTTAAACAGATTGAGTGGGTGAATGTACTTTGTGGGCGTATTGTTCCTTGAGAAGATGATCATATAAAGACATCTGCAACAAGCCAGCTGATGTCAGCGCGTCACGAAAGTAGAAGGAAATGTTGGAAATCTAATATTAAGAGCTGAAATCATCACAGGGATTACTTTTACTTTTATCTCATTATTTGAAACTTTTGCCATCTTTAATATGAACATTTAACAATTAAACATTATATATGAGAAAATAAGGCAAAGTACAATAGTTCCCCTTTAATGTATAATACAAGTCTGCCTAACTTGAGTACAGTTTTTTGTTATATCTACAAATTGTTAAGAGAGTTCAGTTTCTACTAAAAACACATTTTATGTAGCCTAGTTAACAAATGGAAGTTTTGGTAAAACCCATGTTTCTTTTGGCATGTAAAAACATACATTGACCAAATGAAGACAAAGAGATTCCCAAGGGGGAAATTATTATGTATTTCAAAACTCTGTATTTTTAAATTAAAATATGTAAACACATATATAAATATATTAGCCTTAGAAATTGGATACGACCCAGTCAACACAAAAAGTGACCCCAAATGGCATCAGGGCCCCAAGGGTGAGCGAGACAAGAGTGATAAGCTTAGATATCAGCAAACACACCACTTTTAGCTTTGGTAGTGTGGGAAATATGTGTCAGTATTTCTGAAATTCATAGACCAAATGTATGATCAGTAAATGAAAACAGTTAATAGATTAATCAATACTGAAATAATCATTAGTTGCAGCCCTGCTTTTTTTAAATTATGTGCTCTTTGTTTAGTTTAATTTACAGTATATATTTTTTTTCACTTTCCAGTATAAAACGTAGATTTCATTATAAAACCATGAGATGTAAAATGGCAATTAACCTTGTATACTTGTTTAATCAGTCCTTAAAAATAGCAGTACTCAAAGCTTTAATGTTATTAAACTAGAAGAAGGTCCTGCACTCACCACATTTTTGGGATCTGCATTTAGCCGTCCTCCCGCACTTCCGTGCCAACATGTTCTTTTGTCTGTAATCTGCAAATGCTGTGGAGACTATACATTGTTATGCTGTGTTTGATTATGATAACAGACAATGATTCACGATTATATCTCAAATAAACTTACTTTGGCTGCCTCCAAAATCTGACGACTGTTTTCGCTCCTGCTTGTCCTCCATGTAGCTGTTCGTAGGTGTGGAGGGGAACTCAGCTGAAACATATGAGATGTCGTTATTTACTGATGTTTCTCATTTCTGCATTTAGATGGGTGTTTTAATATTCAGAAACACTGAAAGCCTAAAAAAAAGAACAACGGAATAAATGAAACTTCCACACAAAAAGATAATATAAACTGCAAAATACATTTAATTCCAATAGAAACAAACAAGCACTACACAACATTTTCTTCCCTGTGTGTTTTCACCAAACTGTTCACAGTTTAAAGGTTGTGTAAGGGCTGCGGACATACTGAACAAATAAAAGGGTCAGAGGAGAACTTGGTTAAGCTTCAGGACTGGTTTGAGAAGCTTCCACAGATGTTTTGATAGCTGTTGTTTTTTTTCGCCATGAATATTTGTCTTTATTTTTAACCCACATGAAATCAATTGAAGCAATACGAGCACCACCTTTTGTGTTGTGTTTAAGTACAGTCGTTGTCTATGAAGGATAAGAACTACTAATACTAATACGCCTACAGAGGCTAAATGTTTGATAATGCTAGATATACTGTGAGTGGTTTACGATTTACACTTAAATGTATCCTGTGTTGCACCTAAATTTAAGGACACTTATATCCTCTCATCTATGATGACCTGGAATATTATGTAAACAAACACTGTATGAATAACACATTAGAGAAAAGTAGAATTTCTTATTAGTTTGACACATTTACTTGTGTGCCAATGTCACATACACATCACTTCTTGCATTAATTGTTAATGTGTGAGTTGTTTGTAAACTAAGCTTACATAACAAATGATAACTTTTAGAGAGGGTAATTTTTATTTTCCAGATCAGTGGTTTTCAAACTGCAGTCTGGGGACCAACAGGGGTCCTTGAGTGGGTTTTAGTGTTTCCCCAGCAAAAGGAGGAATAAAATATTTGAACTTTTATCCCATTTTCTGGAAGTTGGAACAACAAGGGAAGAAATAAGGCTGGATGTCTTTATTGATTGTTATTTGTAGGGATTCCAGTTTGATTCCAGACTTGTCTAATCTTGAAACTTAATTATAAGAACATTATTCAGAGGGAATTAAGACATAAACCCTCTCAAATTGGTGGTCTGTGGTCTAATGTGCATCTATTACAGAGCCTTGACATAAAAAAGTTAGTGAATCCCTGCTTTAGATAAAAGACCTTCAGTTAACAGTACTTGGTGCACCTAGCTAAATTATATTGTTATAAATGGGGAGGGCAAAATATTAGAAACATAATAACCTTCATGAAGGTAGAATTTATGGCAACAGTGTTTCATTGGACTGCATCAGTTTTATTATCAGATCAGAATCAGAAAATACTTGACTTGAGAGAATAGAATGATTAAAGAACAATATCTAACAATATATACAGAATGAAAAAAATAAATATATATGTTACATATAAAATAAATAAAAATAGAAATATGTAGATTATAATACAATATATGACTAATAAAAGAGTACTGCACTTTGACCATTTGCTTGCACATTAATATGACTTATTATGATTAGGATAATAAACTAGTAGCAGACTGAGAGGCTGTTAAATTGTCAAATAATCAATAACAGAGTGTTAACACGTGATGACAGTTATATCAGCAGGAAAACGTCCCCTGGGTGGGACAGACAGACAGTCTTATCTAACATTTACCGACTCTTGTTAAGAAAATACCCGTGACTGACAGCAGTTCACACTGTAAACAGAGACTGCTATGATCTATTAAACTCGACTTACAGCCAAATAACCATTCACCGGAGTGAAAACTGTAACAACGCTGGCGTTAACATAACAAGTTAGCTGTGGTTGAATGGCTACGAGTCAGACGGCTCAGAGTAACACTAATGTTTACACCACACTTTACGGACACTTGTAGGCAAACGCTGTCGAAAAATGAGCGACTGTAACTTCTAAGAAAGTTAGTTACAAAGCACTTTCCCTCTCCTGTCCTGTCCTGTCCTTGTGTGTGAGGACTGTCACACTCACAGTGTCCTCTCCAACCGGGCCGACCTCTTCCTCCCTTTAACACTCACCAGATGTGTCACTCGACGTTTGGGGTCCGTCGAGTTCTCACCGCGACTTTTACTCCAGATGTGATACGAGCTCGTCTGTCGAAGGAGAAACGCTAATTTTCGTCTTTGGAAGTGAAAGCCGCATTTCAGCGGTACCAACATCGGCGCCATGTTGGACGAAGGAGGAAGGCGGTTAGTCAACACGCCGGTAACGTCACATCCGGCCTTAACTAACGGCGCTGTCAGTGTCAAAGCTAGCGAGCGAGGAGCTTCTTACTTGACACTACTACACTAATTTTGAGGACATATCGGCCGCTATTTTGATTTTAACACGACGCGAGGGAGTGTTTGAAGGTTTGTGAATGAGCTCCCGTCGGTTAGTGTCTCTAGGGAAGCTGCGTGAAGTCGGAGGAGTTCACTTGGAAACAAACTAGTCGAAGCTAAAAGGCTGAACACGTTGTCTTTTGTCAGACAGCGGGGGAGCAACCGACTGTGAACTGGGTCGCTCGGGTCCAGAAAACGCCGTCTGGCTTTCGCATAGTTTGTTTCAAAAAGAGGTGGGGGGGAGAGACCTTTTCACCTCTCGCTCAGGATGCCATGCCACAATCAGCAACTGAACAGTGTCAACAGTGGTCAGGAGCACCCAATGAAGCAAGTGAGATTTGCAAACAGCAGCAGCAGCAGCAGCAGTGTGTCTGCAGTGCTGTCCAACTCTGAACCTACTGATGCCTCCATACAGCCCGTAAACCAAGACAACCTGGGCCCTCAGCTTAAACTGCTCCCCCTGAATGACCAGATCCGTGAATTACAGACTATAATCAGAGACAAGTGAGTCCCCCTGCTCTTCTATCCCCACATATAGATCATAACGGTACACGGTGGTTATATTATGTAGGGCAGTTTCAAGGAGAAACATTGGGTTATTGCATCTAAAATGTGAGTGTGTGGTAGAATAATATCATCATTTAATATGAATATTAGTCAAATTAATTCAGATTGTTTTTAATTCTAGGAAAAAGGCAACATTTAAGCAGTATCATACCTAATTTCCCATGCAGTCCATGCCAATAACTGTACCAAATATACTGTATACTGATATATCCTTTGGCCCTTGAGTAATCTATATGTCTGTGGGTTTGTGTAAAATGGTGATGCACCTGTCTGATGGACACCTAATGAAACACACACACATATTGATCATCCAGGGTATGTGACCGATCCAAATCATCCTCTTCAATCTGACTGTCTTGCCAGCGGGACAGTCATTGCAAAGTCATGCTGTACATCCTCCAACGCATCCTTCAGACCCACAGGTCTTTATTTCAATTTCCTGTGAGCATCTCAAATTTACAACAATATTGATGGAATGATGCAGTTTGATTAATATTTTCACTTCCTGTGTGAACGTCAAATAGCTTCAGTGGAGGTCTGGAACAAGCTGTATATAAAGTATATGTGACGCTGTCAGGATAATGTGGATTCAGATTATTTTTCCAACCTTAAAGCTACTTAAAGGGGAAATAAAAGGAAACTGGATCTTAAGGGGTTAAATACAGTTTCTTTGTCATTATCATAATAATTGATCATTTCAATTACACAATTTTTTAAACCCTCTGCAATTATAAAATCAACATTTTTGCACAACTATCAAAAGAATAGTAGTTTTGTGTAAATACAGCTTCCTTACTATTTACTAATACCGTATTACAGTTATGTATCATAACTAGAGATGGAACAATACACTCAAGAATATAAACCATGCAAAACAATGCATGTTTCCTTTTCAATGTAAAAGTGAAACTGAAATCTTTTCACCTTGATTCCACGATTTATATCACGATTAATCTTTTATCTTACCGTCTTGAATCTTCACATATTATCGTGATTTATCTTTACATTTCTAACCATAACTGGAGAGAAAAAGTGGGTTTGGTAGACAGTTAACAAAAGTACATTTTGAACCATCTAATCAAATGTTTATATTCATATTTCCAGGACAACCAGCAGAGGAGACTTTGTGTTTTGTGCTGATCGACTGGTAAGATTATGACTCATGGATACTACATAGCGTGTGTGTGTGTGTGTGTGTGTGTGTGTGTTTATAAGCTACAAGCTGAAAGCTTTTTCTTTCTCCAACAACAGATCAGATTAGTAGTCGAAGAAGGTTTGAATCAGCTCCCATACTCAGAGTGCACTGTTACTACGCCAACAGGTGAGGCTGTGTTTCCCTAATAACTAAGTTAAGGTTTGAAGTTTGGACTCTGACCTACAAACATGTAAAGATCTCCCCAGGACCAAGCTGGATAAAGTTGACCAATTGTATTAACCTAAATGCAAAATAAGTGCCTGGATCTCATCCAGTGTTTTACCTTCAGCAGTGTGACTGTGGGATTGTTCAAAGCAGCTACACTTGTGAATGTTCCTACTTCATTTCTTTCCACCCTCAGGGTACAAGTATGAAGGTGTCAAGTTTGAAAGAGGCAACTGTGGAGTCAGCATAATGAGGAGTGGTAAGTTAACCCTGCCGAAAGCTCTCCTACCAAATTAGAGTCTTTCCTTTTTGTGAGGGCATACATTATGTCTTCTGTGTAAATGTAATTTGTGCCGACTGCACTTGTGCTGTACATTGTGTTCTGCACATATTCATCAGGTCAGGCTGTTGTGTGCTCTGGGTCATACACTTTTTTTTTTTTAAACGGCAGTCACCTCTTCTCTTACAGTGGAATAGATTTGAATACTAAATGAAACAATAGAATAACGTTACATCGGATCTTGAGGTTGATACAATGCTGTGCTTCTCTACGCAAGTATCCCAGAAAAGCAGCAATTTGATAACATTTGATCTTCAGATTGGCACATCCAGGCTACTGGACTCTCTGTATGGTGCATCCAGTCTGTTCTATGGATGTTTAATAATGCAACTCTATACAACATAGCTGCTCCATGTTGCACTCAAAGTGTCTGGGAAGGGAACTAACAACGTATTAAGTGAAATTAGAGGGGAAATGTACACAGCATATGTTTTTGTTTTTTTTGACATTTTGATTAACACAGTGTGTATAGGCACCAAGGCTTGATATTTTATTAATGTTTTAAATAGAGATGCACTTTTTTTTTTTCAGCTCTGATCTGATAACTGAATTTACATATCTGCAGATACTGATACTGCTTTATTAAATCGTAGGACTTCCACTCCTCGGAGTGTTGGCATTGCAAGTTGTTGTCTTGTTTTTCTGTGTTTCGAGACTGAAAAATCTCCAAAGTAAAGACATGTTGAGTTAGAAAATGTTACTGGCTCACTCAGTCGCAGACTGTTTCATGTTACGTTTTGGCGGGTTCATGATCCAGGAAAAGCTCCGCCTGTATGTATAACTCACAGGGAGAGACAAATAAATTAATTAATTTGTGCTACAACATTTTGGCTATGGCCTTTAAAATTGCATTTATATATATTTTATAATCCATAATACCATCAAACAATGGAATCTAGATACAGTCCGATATGTGAAATAGGTCAATATCGGCACTTATTGGATGGGATCGGTCCCAGCTCTAGTTTTAAAGGTGAATTTAACTTTGTCAACTTTGTGTGTTCAGAGACATGCAGAATATTAAGTACGTTTTCATGAGTGTTGTTCATTCTGTCTGCTTGATGATCACATTTGCAGAGGCAAGGTGAACAGAGAGAAATCTACATTACCTTATTTTACTACCTTATAACATGTTTATAACAATAACATTATTATTCAATATATCATAATATGCAGCCTGTCTCAAACCAATAGGGAACTGCAATAAAACTGTATAAGTATTTTGATAATTAAAAGCCCTCTGGTGACTCCTATTCGTAACACATAAAAGCTTCAAGTTTTTTCTTGTTGACATACTTATGAAGATCATAGTCATAGCCATGTCACATGTAGTTGTCAGACCTTTTGGAAATCAGTACTGATATTAAAAAAAAGCAACACTGGCCCAAATAACACATTTATTTAAATAATCAGACAACATTTCAATCCTACTTTGTTTTCTGTATCTCCGCACAGGTGAGGCCATGGAGCAGGGTCTCCGGGATTGCTGCCGCTCCATCCGGATTGGCAAGATCCTCATTCAGAGTGATGAGGAGACACAGAAAGCCAAAGTCTACTACGCCAAGTTCCCTCCAGATGTGTACAGAAGAAAAGTGCTGCTCATGTACCCCATCCTTAGTAAGTAACAAATGGCTGAGCACAGTTTATCTTACTGATGGCTCCAGTTTACCGCCCTCAGTAGCACGTAAATGTCAAGAGATGTCTATTTTTGTGCAAATGTAAAAATGGTTTCATGTATTTATTCATTTTGAGAAATCTCCCTTGAGTTGACCTTCACCAAGTCTGCATTTCCACATCATACTGGCCCATTCACACTGTTCTGATAATTATAGCTCTCATGGGGGAAATTATACACTGCCTGGGAGATAGCCACCAAGCTGCTGAATAGCATAATGAGGGCCAACAAAAATAGTATCCTAATAGCCCTGGTTTTCCAATGTCACAAAGCAGCATTTTTCTGCTTTCAATTTTCAAAAAAATGTAATGGCGACCGAGCCAGGTTGAAGGTATGTTTTATGATGTCAGAGTGATGGAACATATGGTTACAGTGATGCATGCTAACAGGGTCAGAAATGAAAGCCTGCCAATCGCCTAGACTCATGGGCAGATCAATCAGCACACAGCTAAGTACCTTTTTCAGATTGCAGCAGTCTATTATAGCAGGGTTTAAATGAACACATTGTTTTATTTCTGTAAATAAGTTGACATTGTGAACGCTGCGATGTGAAACAACCGCCAAGCCTTAAATGTTCTGTGTCTGCAGGTACAGGAAACACTGTGATCGAGGCGGTGAAAGTGCTGATAGAACACGGAGTCCAGCCCAGACATATTATCCTCCTCAGCCTCTTCTCCACGCCTCACGGTACACCACCACAGCCAGTTCACTGCAGCTGCAGCTCATCACTGATTTACTTTTGTTTACCCACCAGATCACACACACTTAGTCTCCAATCTTCTCTTCACTCCTGTTACTGCTGTATCATTGTCTTCATACACTATACTGCTGGTACCAATAATGCTTATTTAAACCTAATATTGGGAATTATGGGGTAATCTGTTGACTTGTAACAGTAGTTTTCTACTAGTCAGATTGCAATGACATTTTAATGTGGATATTTATGGTGTCCCAGAGAAGGAATGCTTATTTTTCAACTCCTTGACCTTTCTTCTGGAGCCGTCATTGAACCAAACTTTGCACTTTAAAGGTCCAGTGTGTGCAACATTTAACAAAAGGACTATAACATTCATAGGTATCTTTTCATTAGTGTATAATCACCTGAATATAAGAATTGTAGTTTTCGTTACGTTAGGCTGAGCCGTTCTTATCTACAGATGCCGGGGGTTTAACCCTAACCCCTAAGAGGAGAAAGCCTGTTGATTTTAATGATCACAGACTTTCCTGTCACACCAAGACAAACAAACAAAGTTGAAAACATTGTGCATTGAATGAAAAGTCACCAAAGTCAACAGGATTCATCTTCAGTTTGATTCATTGATTGATTAATTGATGGAGACCGATTAATGTCTCTACCATATTTCATGGCAACTTATAGAAAATAAGTTTGCTTTTGCTTTTTAAACACTTCATCTACAGTGGAATACCTTTTTTACTTTTATCTTAGGAGCCAAATCTATAATCCAGGAGTTCCCAGATATCACCATCTTGACAACGGAGGTTCATCCAGTGGCTCCGACACATTTCGGACAGAGGTACTTTGGCACTGACTGAACCAAGGACAACCTGAGGAACATGATCCGCAAATTGCTTTAAGTATATTTTGTCTTGTTTATTTAAATGTATCTCATGTTCTCCTTGTTGTGCCAAATACTGCTACGTTATCTCCAAAGTTCCTGAACTGACACAAAATGATTAATCTGATCAGTTGTATTTATTATCATGTGTTTTTGCCGTGTATACTCATGCATAAGAAAGAAAACAACACTGAACCATATAAAGAGTTCAACTTGGATCATTTTATTTTGCATGTTACAACAACTGATGGAAAATAAAGAATTTATATTTGTTAACAGACAGAACAGCAAGTGAAACAGTATCACTACCTTTGGTGGTTCAGAGGTGTTAAAAACGGGAAGCACCACAATCACATACTCCAAAGACAATTTAAAAGGGACCATACTGTATGTGCTCTAGCAGTATTGAACTCCTGTCTGCAATGTGGGTATAATTTGTCATCTTCTCACGTTATAAATATCCTACTATCAGATAAAAGCACATTTCTTCAATAGTTTATTTTAAGTGTCACTTGATGGAGCAAAATATACAGACACTGCCTGCAGCAGTTATGAATCAGTAAACTCAATACACAGGAAAATAGCTGAACATTATAACAATAAATAGACACAAGACTACATGAAACATTCAACATCCACATCTTTCCTAATGTTTTATACATGCTTTCAAACACTGAATCATACCTCAGATAAAAACGACACACGGGTTTAATGAATAAATGAGTTCTGTATGTTATGTATTTCTTAGACATGAGCAGCATTTAATTTGGCTTACCCAACATAGTAGAAAAACAGATCTGATGAGGCAAGGTAAAGTGTCAACATCCAACAGCATCCAGGGTTGATAAAGGCCCAACTCTTTACTCATAGTGAATAAATGGGTGTACTCAATCACAGAAATGGTTGTCAACTAAGTACACTGGCTAAATACACAAGTCCATAATCCAAACAGTCTCGAGGAGAATGTGTTTCATTGGTATTAAAAATTTCAAAATACATAAACACAGGTAGAAAAAATTTCAGAACATCATATTGCAGAAGACCACTGTCCTCTACCAGCCAGTGGACGAGGATCAGTCGTTACATATATGTACAGTTATCTGCATGTTTAAAAAGATCAAAAGGGTGATTTTGTGCCTATGATGAATGCAGATTTCACTTTGCATCAACGTGTATAAGTGTAATTTTCCTGGGGGTGGTTGATATGGTAGAAAACAAGATTGTGATAATTATTGTTTTATGTCTATTGCAGTATGTCTCATTTTTACATCATTTGAAGGTCCAGTGTGTAACATTTAGGAGGATCTATTGGCAGAAATGAAATATAATATTATGAGGTATGTTTCCATTAGTGTATAATCACCTGAAAATAGGAATCATTGTTTTTGTTGCATTAGGATGAGACGTTTTTTATCTACAGACACCGCGGGTACCCTTCCATGGAGTCCAGCATGGTGAACCACCATGTTTCTACAGTAGCCCAGAATGGACAAACCAAACACTGGCTTTAGAGAGGGCCCTTTGTGTTTTTTGCAAGTTTTGCAGCCACCATAGTCATAAACAAATACAGACATCAGTGGTGTTCAGTTAGCTTAATGTGAAACTTCACCACTAGATGCCACTAAATCCAACACACTGGACCTTTAAGTCTGCCATAATACTCTGGTTGAGTCTTCAGCAATAATTTCAGTCATAATGAGTTGAAATTTATGCTAGTTCTCTTTTAATTACTGTCACCAGTCTGATCACACCTTGGTAATGGCATTTTAACTCGATATTAAATGCTGAAATACTCCATTTAAAGCATACGAGAGGTTCTTTCTTAAAAAGGTGCCCAAAATGTTGGCACGGTCTACTCACAAGCAGGATGCTGGATACATTCTCAGGAGAAATGGACTCCCAAAACACAAGAATAAATATATTTATAAGGCTAAGTCAGGTATTCTAATATGCTTATGTTCATTGAAAAAAATAATAATAATAAAGTAAGTAAAAGCTTATGTTAATATGCTGCATGACCCAAACTGGTAGAGGCCAAACAACGGAATCACTACAAGAGACCTCTGGAGCATTACGGGTGTGAGGTCAATTTAGATACCAACCCGCACAGACCAAGCTCTAAAGGTGCAACACTGTAAATTCACAGCCCAACACTGAAACAGAGGCATATAAAATAGTACAGTGCCAGACAGAAGCTTCCCAATTAACAGTAATTTATAATCCCACAGAGGTCAGTGCCTTGAGATGAACAACCAGAGGGAAATATACAACGGCGCATGGTACAGTTAATAGCAGTTGTTTTTTTGGAGGTAATATTTGACAGGTTTTTGTTTTTTTTACCAAATCAAACTGATACTGTTGTCCACGAGAGGAGAGGTGATGCTACTGGTTGTCCATCAAGCTTCTCCATACATCATTATGTAAAACCCCCTGGGTAACAGTGGCAATGACAATCCAAATGCGGGTTTTAATCCACACGTCTGCCCCCCTTCAGATTGAGATTCAGAGTATCTGAACAGCCACATGATTTTTGAATGCATTTGCCTCATACACAGTGTGAGCGATATTAATATACATCCTCTGTACCAGTGTAAATTGTCCTTACATTAAATTACTATTCCTCCATCTCTATGGTAACAGAGGGGTCTTGGTCCTCAACTGTAATGAAAAAGAAAGGAGAAAAAAAAGAAGAAATTTAAGCATTCATTATTTTGAGTGTTTGTTGAAACTGATTGAGCTCATACAGTAGTTAACATTATGTTGCATATGACCACCAGGTGGTAGCAGAATATTATGGATGTAATCCAAACACACCAAAATATTGTGCAGGGGGAGATTGGTGCGTCCAGATTACTGAATTTGAAGACATGTTCGGAGGCAAATGTGCACATTTGTTTATTTTAGTATGGAGTCTCTGAGTGACAAAGTGTGTCCTCCTAGCGGCTTATGACGACGGGTGCTGGAAGGTACTTTTTGTTTATAGGTGTGTGTGCCCAGTACCGTGACTATGGAAAGCTTGTATTATGGACAATTTGGGGTCTTAAGATGGATGCAGATCAACTGCATTTCTTAGGGCACATCTATTTTTCAATTGGAGAAATAAAGTGTGTACAAATAAAACAAAGATGTCATTATATTTTAATGTTACTGAGGCATTTAAAAATATTTTACAAACCACTAAGGCACTAATGTTGCATTACAGAGTGTGATTAGAATCAGAATTGATTTCAATAAATTAAAGAAATATATTTTTAAAGAATTCTCAACATGGAAAAACAACAAATAAACTGATCGGTATCAGTTTGCACTTTATCTACTCATTTTAATGATTAACTGAAAGACAGTGCCAAGAATCTTAATTTGGGAAGAAAATCCATGTCAAGCTTAAGAGGAAGGTAAAAGTAAAGAGATCACTGCATTTGGCCTCACCACAAGTGAAAGTGCAGAGTAATTTGAGAGGTGAAAGTTGTCCAAATTAACCACAGTAATTGACTGCAATGCATGATAAGGTTATATCTGGGAAAACAGCTAAACAGTCATTTTCAGTGTCTCTGTTCATTGTGCCAAGACTGTCTGATGTGGGGTTGGTTTATTGTATTATTTTATAAATGTGGCAGATAACATTGGTGGGTTTGCAGTGATAATAATGTTTCCCACGTTTTATGTGAAGACTCACTGATAATTTTTCGGGTTATGTGAGGCATTATTTACCTAGCTGTACATAATGGTGACTATAGTGGAACATTAGGCAGCTCAAGAGACTCACTGGGACTTGAACCTTTACTTAATTGTTTGACACGTTACTAGTATTCAGTTTTAATTTAATTGAAAGTAGTTTCAAAAATACTGTTTTATATTTTACTAAATTACTCTTACTCTTAATTACTCTCTGACTCTTTTTAAGAAAGCTTTCAAATCATATTAACATTGTGGTTTCAAATACAACCACATTGTCTAGAGAAGTGCTGAGAGGCAAAACAAAACAATTACTTTTGAGCACGTATTCAAATTCAGTTTTTCTGGTAGTACAAATTAAACCCATAAATCCATATTTTGTTATGGATTAGGTGTTATGTTTATTGTAGTAAAACACTAAAAATATCACATTTACTGAGGTCAGACTACTGATTACTGGGCAATATTGATCCAGTTTCTTAGGTGCCACCTGTCCTCGTTGATACTGCAAATACTTACAGTCAATGTTACTGATCCATTTTAATATATTGAAAAGCAGTTTATGTTCGAGGAACTATAGAGAATGTGTGGTAGTATTAAAATTAAAATGACTCACCCAGGCTTCCTTCCTCAGAGCCGTCATCTGACTCTTCCCACATGTCCTCATTAGCTAATAAGGGGTTGTGGGATTCAGAACTCCGATTCTTTAAGGGGAAGTAGTGGCCATTCCCTTGGCTGACATGTTCATTGCACAAAAGAAGACAGAAGATAGTTAAGGAACCATGACCATTACCTCATCCCATCTCCTGACCCCATCCCAGTCTACATTTTGTTCATTAGCTCCAACACTGCTACATGTAACTCTGTATTCTGCAGACAGTTAATGTTACATTGTCCATCCTATCAACTGTCCGTACCCGCTGGGTTTTTATTGTTGTAATTATTATGGCCATTTTGTTGTATTGTAAACTAAACAAAGTGCCACGTCTAAGATTTAAGACTACAGGTGACATTACAAAAGTAAAATGAGTAAGAGGAGTAGAATCTAATTATGCATCTCACTCACCTTGTGAAGACGGGTATGAACCACAGTCTCCGATTCTCTCCAAATACCTGCTGTAGGTTTCTGCGTATACCAACATTGAAGCCATTTCTGTCTGGTCCACTGACAAAAACAGGAGCTGAGAAGGCCTCTAGAAAAGAAAAAAAACAACTGTGGTTCTGAATATGTCTGCATGCTTAAGTTCTCCAGATATACTTTTACAAAGGATGTACATTCATAACACAAGAGTTCCTCCCAGGAAATGATTCATAGGTCGTCGAGGTAGTGAGAGAGCAGCTTGATGAGCGGAACAAAACGGGTTTTCTGATACTGAAACTCACCTAAAGTGGACCGGTTTTTGGCCACCAACCAACAGTGGTAGCCAAAGAGGAACATGAGACTGACGAAGAACATGAGCGCCACAAACATGAGGAAGAGGACGTGGAACTTTGCGGGCCCATTTGGCAAGTCCCCCTGGGAGAGAGAAACAGGAGAACTAGAAACTTGAGGAAAAAATGGTGGGTTTCAAAAACGTCTAACTCCTCACAGAGGTTGTTCTCTATTGTTGTAGAATTGCAACACCGGTGACCATATGACCAGCCATATGACTTCATTATCAGATGTTGAGCATGAGTGATGATTTAGACTGATGACACTCACCACCCAGAATTTGAGGAAATACTGAAAGACTGTTGCTGCAATGAACACACAGTACAACATGGAGTAGGAGAGGAAGAGCAGGAAAAACTTGTAGTTGGAGAAGCCCACACAGTTGTTCACCCTTAGAGGAAAAACAAATTCTGTTGTCACAACAAAATGATTGCTCACATTCCTTCAAAGAGGGAAGTACTGGCAAAGTTCCTACTTACCAAGGACAGTGATGGTCCATCTTCAAGACACATCTTTAAAGGAATAACATGACATATTTTTGTTTCCACATATTTTGATAATGTAACATGTACGTTACTTTACCTTAAAAATAAATGCCATAATACAGTTTTCACATCATTAAACTCTTATTTTAATTTGTCTCTGAGTCCAACTCTTAATACAACCTACTTTACACAGTATCCTGACCGCGGTCTGCTCATTCGTTCTAGTAAACCTCTGCTCTGATTGATCATTAGGATATTCTTTCTGTGGGATACTGTGCCAACAAAGCAACACCTTCTAATTATCACAACAGTCTCCGGCCAACAAATATCTCCTTGCCTAGGGTGATCTCCCTATTTGAATGGATTGAGGAGGAAAGAGTGACTTACGTTTCACAAACCGAGCAGTGGTGACAGCGGTCAGGCTTCAGTACCTGGCAGCGGTCGCAGAACCTGATAGCTAGAGACAAGAGGATGGCCAGTTGAATGAACGACATTTGAGCCGAGCTTACCCTTCACTTACTTCCTGCAGCCTAGGACTTAGTCTAGCAATCAGCACTAATGAAAGAGATACATTGGCTGATTACTGTGGATGGAGCACACACACACACATAGAGCTAATTGCCCTCGCCTACTTCTTATTTCAACACACACAGATTATGTGCGAAATGACGGGACTGTGGCTTATCTGCCTTGTTGCTCCAGTGATTTTACAATATGAAAATCCTTGCAGGGGACAACATATAAATGACCCGACAGAACAACTTACCTCCTGATTGAGCTCGAGTAAAGATGGGCAGTTTCTTTGCAATCTCAACCAGGATTTGCTTCTGAGCATCTGGCCTCTCCTCCATCTCGTATCTTTGCTTGTCTGAGTATGACAGCTGAAACTAGAGCACACAAAAAAAAAAAAACATGCATCATGCCCCACATCAGAGTTATTACATGGCACAATGCAGCAATAACATCATGTTCAGTGCTGGATACCTTCTTGCATGGTGATGCAGCAGGGGTAAATATGGACCTCCAGTAGGTCCAGGAGAACATCACAAAGCAAACATGAAACACCAGTAGATAGGCCACTGCAAGCACGAAACAACAGGCCCAATTATTTACACAAACAAACCACAAAATAAACATACTGCTGCTTGTAAGCACATAAATCAATAGGTAACTCACCTTTTTCAAACGTGTTGGTGAGTGTAACTGTATGAAAAACAAGAACATGGTATAATAAAAACACAAAGCCGGATACCAGATACGAGCAACAGTGTGTCGAGCTGTCTCTACAAACACTAAGTTACTTTGTTTACTCAAAAGAAGAAACAACATTTACCGGCTAACACGACTAGCCAGATTGACAGGGTTATCGCTCAGAGGCAACAGTCTTTAACATGAATACAGAGTCAACACTGACCTCTTAACCAAATTAAAAAAAAATTATTTTTAAAAAGGGCCAAATATCACGATAATCAAATAAAAAAGGGCACACACCCTAAACCACTTCCGCCTAGTTTGCTAGCTCCTGCTCGGTCTGTAACGTTATTTCTTGTCAACACTGCTGTGCGGCAGTCTGCGATGTTCACAGTTAAAACGCTCAAAATCACAACAAACGAACCGCAGTTTCTCGTTACTTACACAGACATAGCTCAAAGACGTAAGCGTAGTACGACCACAACGCCACGGAGGTGATTATAAGCACAGGTATCCAAGAGAAAACCCTTTGACAGCATCTCAAACCTCTGGAGAGAGCCATGTTCCATCCAACCTCTGCTCTGATCTGCGCTCGATTACAACAACTTCCTGGGATTTATCCATCGGTGACATCGGCGAGCGATTCACTGCAAATCCAGGAGCCAGACCATAGAGCCAGAGAGCAGAGTCCTGGCAGGTGATCTGAAAGGGATTGTTTTTTTATTAGTGTTTCAGAAATGCAACTGTGAACTAAAAGCTGCAGAGCAAACAATGACAAACTCCCATCAACCTTCACAATACAGTTTAGTAAGAAAACGGTGATACATTCAGCCTATTAAGAAGAAGAAGAAGAAGAAGAGGATATATACTTTATTAATCCCCTATTGGAGGAATTGTTCTTTTCACTCTTTTTTATTTTACACACACACACAGGTTCCCAAGCCAAGTCCCTACACACTGAGCTAAAGGCAAATACCTTAAATGCCTGATTTTGCCACAGTCAGCCTCCGTTTAAACTTATAAATCATAATAATAATAATAATAATAAAACATACAATATGTCAGAGTAACAAAAGCACAATAATAATATGAATGATGGCTGAATTCATTAAGAAGCAAGCAAGACAGAATGACAAAGGAAAGTACAAACGTTTTAAAAATCAAAGGTATAACACAAAAGTAAATTCAATGCACTATTTTATCTATACTGATTTATTTATGGTTAGACCTTAATTACAGGTGGTGGTTTATTTTACTTCTCTGTGTGCACCAGCATACACTCTTCCTGTAGTCCCAAATCTAAAAAGATGTATGTCTGCTGTATTAGCTCTGATATTACTTTCTCTAAAATAACCATAAAAGATAAAAGTAAGATCTTCCGTGTTAAATCCTATGGAGCGGTTTTTTAATGTCTTCTATAAGTGGAGCTATAAGTACAGAGGCATTGCATTGCACTCATTTGGAAGACTCTTTTATTCCCACACATACACACTGTACAATCTGGTGTTTGCTCAGGAATACTTTACCATGCAGCCAGGAGGAGTTGGAGATTGAACCACCAACCCTACAATTAATGGAAACTCTCAACCACCCTCCTGCATCATCTGCAAGTCCTATAGTCTTATACAGCACCATACAATGAGTGACACAATAGGTCCTTCCAGTACTAATAGCCCAACCAATACTGTCTTAGCCTGCTGATATTGATCCTCAGGTGTTATCATTGGTAACACCTGAGTTTATCCTACTATTTCATGTCAAAACGGCTGCTGTGAAAAAGTTCTAGAAAGTTCAAGAAATCAGAGGGGAGACATGGGGGATTACAAGCAACATAGGTTCCCCAGCTGGACTGGGATTGATTTAACTTTAACAGTACATTTTCAATTAAGTGCTCTTGTTTACTCCTGTGTGCTTAATTTGTAGGTTACACAACAACCTGGATTTTTGTCAAAATCTCTGCAGGCCACACACACACACACAAACAAGAAATCGTCTAATTGTTTTGCCCTCCCAAGAGCAAAATTGGATCAGCATTCTTTGTGTATAAGCCACGAGTACTGCTGCAGTTAATTTACTTTTAACATAAAGAATAATGTTCCCCTTCTCCTTTAAAACGCTCAGTGAATTACATCATCTTGGTTTGTTTTTTATTTGAATTTAATGTGATAATGCTGCATCGAGTTACTTTTATCCCTGCCTTGCAATTTACACACTTAAACAGCTCAACCTTTAGATTTGACTGGATTAAATTAAACTTTAATGACACTGTGAGGTAATTTGTGTGTTGCAGCAACAAACAGTAGGATACATCAGAGGAAAATTTATTTTTTAGATTTTTATGTTTATATTTAAGAGCAAATGAGTTTTATATACACAACTAAAAAACCCAACATAAAAACATGTTATGCATATTATGGGAATAAAGATGTGTTATAACAGTAAATGCATGCATGTAAAGACAAGTGTGAGAGTTGTGTATAATATAACAAAATATTGTTTAACATCAATTTATTAGAAAGAATATATGCAAATGTCTACATATGTGTATTATTTTTACATAGGAACGTGGAAGGAGTATCATATACCGGAGTATAATGTGGGGAAAAGGTAGTTCATCTTGCTCAAGCTGCGTATCGCTGATTTAGCTCCCCATGGTTGCCTTAGTGTGAGCCCTTTTTAGTCAGAAAGTTCTGTAAGTTGTGATTGATGTTTGCGCAATGGCTTCCTGTCACACCTTAGAGGTATGAGGTGAACGCTGGTGCTTCATGCACGTCACAGAGGAGGTAAAAAGGATTGTGTGTTACTGTCTCCAGGGTGTCAAGTTCAGCCCTATGACAACCAGCCTTTTCACTACTTTGTTTATCCTGTCTGCCTCCCCCGTCGTGATGCTGCCTCCCCGACACACCAGAGCTATAATGCTCAAGGAACGACTGATGATCGAGAAGAGCTTTCTGCTGTGTTTTCTTGAGCTCAGTGCCATTTGAGGTTTAGAAGCAGCTGCTCACTCCCGACACTTGACAGACATCAGCTCTCTCGCTTTGTTGGAAATTAACTAACTAGCTTCTTAATCTTTACTGACACTGAGCTGCACATAATTCTCCTTTCACTAGCAGAAATTCTCTTCCAGGTCCTGCAATCACCCCAAAATTAGAGGCAATCTGGAAACTTCGAAAGATTACACAAGTCACAGTTTGATCTGAAGCTGTGAGAGTGGGAAGAAGAGTGTACAGCATCTACTGCTTTGGAGTTAGAGAAACTGCTGCCAGTGTTAGGCCGTCCTGTCTCACTGTGGATTCAGGGTCATCTGACTTCACAACATCTAGTGCATGTCTGACCAACCCTGGGTTTTCCCATTAAAGGGTTTTTCCTAATCCAAATCTAGTTTCTAAGGATGTCATATGTTGTTCAGATTGTAAAACCCTTTGAGAAAAATGGGTTATTTGTGATATTGTCAAGTCAAGTTTAAAAAGACACACAAGGAAGACATAAATCTATCTATAAAACATCTACATTATAAATTGCACAAAACCGGTTAAATGTGTAAATTTGCATTGTGAATTGCACATGTATATTGCATATTGCATATTGCACAGGCCCCGGAGACAACATAATATAATATAATATGATATATTATAGTGTAAAGTTGCATTATAAAAAAAATTGCACAGGTACATTGCACAGGCCCCGGAGACAGTAGTTCATTTTGTTTTGGCCAAGAGTCTCACTGTGGCAGGGCTACTTTAAAGACATGGCTGTAAATGTTTTAGACAGTAAAATAAAACATTTTCAGTTTTGCTCCTTTGCTGTTTTTTCCATTTTAGAATGCCCTCTGCTGTTATAGTTTATCAATAGTGTGGTAAAGGAATTCCATAATGATCATATAGTGGCTGATCAGTTTTCAGATTTTTGTTCACAAAAGGGGAAATTATTACCAAAGTTTATTTCTATGTTCACTTTAAATTAAACATTTTGTGGTAAAACATCAACGCCACGTGCACTTTGCAGCAGTCACCAATAGGAGGCACTGTGAGACTGGTCTAAAACCGATAACCTGCAGCCTTGCAGCCACAGACATCATATCAGCAGCTTACAAAACACCTTTCACCATTGTTCTTTAGACAATCTCACATGTGAACATGAATGTGATTATGGTGAAAAGTTAGTTTAACTTGAACTCATACACTGTGTGCATCCCACTAATAAGTTTTAATATCTGCGTGAAAGGTTTTGGGTTATTGAGGCTAAATGATGGTTTGTGTGAACATCAAGGTATCCAATTAAACTAGTAATTAGACCTGTTTGGACATAGACTTGTGTTTTATGGCCCTTATGGCTCAGAGTTATCTTTGTAAACCAAGCAGAAACAAACTGATCTTATTGCCGGGAAGACCAACACAGCTGATGTCACTATCAGCACTGATCTCTGTTTATGAGTGTGCGACTCTCATCTTTATTATACCCCATTAATTCCTCCTCCATCCCTTCAGAGAGATGCTGCTTCATCCATTTACTCCTTTTGTTCTGAAGATTTATGACATGCCGTCATACTCTGACGTGGCCGTCCAACACAATGCGTAACAAGCAGTGTAATAGTCTCCCCATTACTGAATGCTGTGAAACTTTTCATCATGTCATGGGACCCCAGAGTCGCTGGAGCATTTAACCATGGACTCTAACAGCCCAGCAGGGCTGTTGATCACAGGCTGCGTAGAGAGGCTTTGTGTGCTTCACAGTCCCACCTGCACTCCCCTCTTTTACGTAATGCAGACTCCCTCTCTGCAGTGCCTTCTGGGATTGGGGTGTGAGGTGAGCTGCACCCAATACTGACCTCCTCTCTTCCTTCACACATGTTCTCTCCCCTCTTTCTCTAGGCCTGCTCCTTTCCCTGAAATCTTCTCCCACTTCAACACATCGTCTGCCGCTGGCTCTCCATCCAGTTCCTGCTCTCTTTGCCCCCCACCCCCTCTCCCCCTCTGCTTCTCGCTCTCTCTTCAGGCAACAGTGTCGGCAGCTGGGTGATGACAGCTCCTCTCTCATTCAACCGCTCACTGGAGGCAGGGAGCGGCCGTCCATCCATCAGCACGGCAGCAAACCCCTCCACTACAAAGCCATTGTGACTAGCAAAATAGTAACGGCCTTTTAATCAAAACATTTACCCCGTGTAAAAGTAAAACACAAACAGCTCATATCAGCAGGTTGAGGCAGACTCCTCGTCTCAGAGATGTGTGTGAGCGGAGCGTGTTGGAGGTGCATTCCATGCCGCCCTGATGGTAGTCTACATAAACAGACAGTAGAGACTGGAAGAGAGCCCATTTGGGGAGAAGTCATGCGTGGCTGCAGGAAAGTGCAAAAGGACCATGGTTTACAATGTACCACAATGCCAGCTTATTAACTGACAAGAGGAGCACAATGGCCAACACAATCCAGTGTTATTTGAGTTTGCTCTTGAGCTGCTGCTCACTGTTATGCCTTGAAGATGAAGTGGCACTTAGAGTGTGCATTTCATTTGACCCCTGAGACTCTCATGTCATGCAGTTGTGTTCTGCAGTCACGGCTGGTTCAGGGAATGCTGATGATGCTAAGCACTTGGGAGGGTGATTCATTTGGGA